TAAAATTAAATTTGTCTCCAAAATCTATGAAGATCACTTTGATTTGTTGTTGTTGTTTCGGGGTTTTATGACTGCATCTGAAAAGCAAGATTTTTGGACCGCTCTTGTAAGCTTTTTTTTATTTTCGCGTCAATTATCCTTGCCCACCATTAGCAGGCTGACCATAAAGGAGTCTTTTCTACATTTTAAAATTAAAACAGGTCTCCAAATCAATAAACAAAGGTCACTAGAGAATGAAGCAGTACATAGAAAAGAAGGACAAATTATCAGTGACAGCACCAAAATAAAAAAAAGCTTACAAGAGCGGTCCAAAAATCTTGCTTTTCAGATGCAGTCATAAAACCCCGAAACAACAACAACAAATCAAAGTGATCTGCATAGATTTTGGAGACAAATTTAAACTGTGAATAAAACAGTTAGTTTTTATTCAGCTATGAGTGAGCTCTCTCTACTGCCCTTTTGTCTTGTTGATTATGGAGCTTTCAAATTATCTTTGAAAAAGACAGTTGCTGCACATAGATTTTTCATATTTCGACATTGACAAGAAGTATTCAAAAACATGTATGGAGTGCACACACATAACCAGCAAAACATTCAGATAATTCATGGCATGATGACTTTGGCTGGAGAAGAATAAGCCTTCAGCCTGAGCACCAGTTTCATGCTCTGTACACTGTATTGCTTGTTCTTTGAGTACATGATACCTCAGGGCAAGCGCAACCTACTGTGAGCCAGCTGGGTTTGGGCCTGGAGTCCAGCAGCACTGTTACTGGCCATATTTGTTGAAGGTAGACCATGTAGATGAATCATGTTCTAATGTATATTCTGCATGGACTAGGTAAACCCAGGTGGACTCTGTTGGAGTATGATGCTTATTTAGTGACTGCTCAGAGACTGAGAGGGACTCCTGGGTGAGCCATCCATTGTGCATTCAGTACGATTGAAAGAGACGCAACTAAATCTGACTTGCTCCAGTGTCAATCCCTAACAAGTTGAACAAGATCAAGGAAGGAATTTTAGTACACAGATTCTAGTAAAGCATATTTAAAGCTACTCTGGGGATAAATATAGAATCTTGGAAACTATAAAAGGAGTTTCTAATCTTCATTTATTGTGAATTCATTAAGACGGAGTGATTTGAAAAGCTCTTCACTGATGTTTGTTTTGTCTTTCTTTGTTGTAATAGGGACTTGACAATGTTCACAAACAAAAAGTTGCTGAAGTACTTAATGATCCAGAAAGTATAGAGAGAAGGCAAAGCCGTGAGAGCCTTAATATTGATGTGGTAAAGTATGAGAGTGGACCTGATGGAGGAGAGGAAGTGAGTATGAGCTTAGAGTGGAATGGGGTGAGTACAGTACACAGTGCAGTCAAGTTTTTTATTCTGTTGGCGTTATAACATATTCTTGGTTTATATTCATCTGCAGATTTGAGTAAAAGAAAAATCCTGCTTTTTCTATTTTAAAATCAATTGGAAAACACTCAAATGAGAAAAAAATCTAGGAATTAATATTTGAATCTTGCTGTGCGTGCTTGAATGCTGATTGAATGTCCTAGTTAATACACAGCCTAAATCAAGCTAATGGATTTTTTTTAGTGGAAGCAAAGTATGACAGCCACATGCTTGTGTTCTTTATCACTTAAAAACTTCGTTGATTTAGAAAACAAACACTGCTCTAAATTCAGATGGAATGATATAAAAGAAAAAAAAAGTCTAGACACTGTATTGTGAAAACAAAATGAAAGTAACTTCTGTATAAATGAAATCCACTGGGTTTTCCCATACAGGTAATCCTCATTTAATAAACAGTCATTCAGCTTCATCGTTTAAAGTTACAGTGGTGCTGAACAACTAGTTTGGTCATGTGACTCAAATTTGGGTGCTTGGTAACTTGGCTGTACTTATGATTGCATTGGTTCTTCAACTCCCCTCACTTTCCCTTCTGCCCCCACCCGTTATTTGTCTTTTTGGTCACCTTATACAGTAGCCTCTTTGGTGGCGGTGGTGGTGATAGTAGTGATAGTGGTGGAGGTAAAATAGGCTCAAGGTCTTTAGCCTCAGCCAGCCACACCAAGTCTATTGTTCTTAAATAATTGAACCTGTTTTTCTATTTGTCTGATAACTTTTATCATTGTTATAATGATTCTTGCTTGTTGTAGCAGCAGATAGTTTTCTAGCTTTGATTTGTAACTGGATATCCTGAGCAGATAGAATTATTCTTCATCATAAGCACATCATGATAATCTTGTTTTTATAATACATTTGAAATCAATAGCAATTCATCTTGCACTTCCAAGTGATTAGTTTCTATAGTGGGATATTTTTTGGAGAGTTCTTCTGTTGTTCTAAAATCTTGCCTGAATTTTAGAGCCCCAAAGATTTTATTCCTTTCTTCTTTGAATTTTTTTCCTGCTCATCTTTGACTTTTCTTTGACTTTCTTTCTGATTTAGTATTAACAGTGCTAAGACAGTCAATCAGCATATAATAGAAACACCATTACCTTATTATTCTTTTATTTTTCCTGTTGGAATTAGAACTGTGTACTGTACTCTTCCCTTGTTTTTTCCCCTTCTGCTTGGCATGCCTTCAATTTTCAAGTGCAGGAAGATGCATTGTTTGCATGTGTTTTACTTTTTATTAAAATATATGCAATTTGCAATTGATAGAGCGTTCAAGGAAATAAACAGTATTTCTAGATCACAAATAGTCCATATTTTAAAATATTCTGATCAATAAATGACTTTCTTTAAAATGGAAATATCTGCTTTGAATAATATGTGGTCTTTAGGGTTGATTTTAATCATGTCAAATGCAGCTGTAATTTAAACATATCCATCATATTCTTAGAAAACATTGCTAAATTTGAGATTCTTTTCTAAGAATATTAATCATTTTTTATTGTTTTAAAATGTTATTTTTGCCTGAAATGTCATCTTTAAAATAATCCTAGCAGTTTGTGATACTGAAATCATTATTTGGATGGAAATTTAATACAATAGGGATTTTCAGCCTCTCTCTTTTGCATTCCCAAGTCACTTTAATATCTCAGTAGAGAAGGTCAAAGGAGCTGATCTACTTGATGCTCCCTGTTCTTAGCAGCAAATTTCAGCTCTGCTTTTTGCTGAGCCATCTTCAATCTGTCATTTGTTCCTAGAAGTCCTCAAGGGATTGAAGGCAGGTAATTGCAATGGAAATAGATTTCAAATGCTTATTGGGATACAATATATGTTTATATATTCTGAATAGAAGGTACAAAAATTTAAAATCTTTGAGAACAGCCTCTTGATTAAGAATAAATGTATTATTCATTATATTCTTCTTTAAAAGAAGGGCTGGTTATCCTACCTCGACAGTAATTCTTCAGGTGTTTTATTATTCATTCTTACACCATATTCTTACAAAATTCTTCATTATAGAAGCGGTCAAGCAGTATTTTATACAATAAATACAAAAAACATGTTACTTTAAAACTGTAAATATTTAACATACAGTATTGCTCCTATGCTGTGATAGTTTTGGAAAGTCTACCAATAAGAATAAATGTGCTAACTTAGCTCCATGTGTATAACTGTTGGGATCCTCCTCGTGGATAATAGTTTTCTAATCTTTGGTTGTTTTCATTATTTTCTAAACATTTCCTCTCCCTCAAAAGTGCTTTAACAATCAAAGCTTGGGAGAAAACACATATAAATGTATGCATTTTTTTATCCCAGCTTTATAATTTTAAAAATAACTCAAAGCAGCGAACATAAATTGTGGTTGTAAATTTATTACTATTTATGAAACTTGTATACCACCCATTTCGCTGAGGCGACTCTGGAGGGGTTTAGTTCTGATACTGAAAGCAAGTGTTTAGGTTGACTTTGTCATCAAAGGTAACCTAAGCCTCAGTTATAAGCCCTGGTGCTTTACTGTTAAATGAAATACACACAGATTTGTCAGGCCTGAAATTTGCCCAGGTTTTCATTAGTTGTTTAAGAAGAAGACAGGCCAATCTCATTGGATCTTACTAATAAATATGAGGTTGGTGTAAATTTAGAACTGTCACACTTCCCTCCTTGCAATCCAGGTGGAAAACAGTTAATCGAAGGAATGAAAAAGAAGGAATTGATAAATAGTACTTATTCAAAGAAAGGTTGAGGCCACAGTACAAGTATTCCAACAGGTATCTTTCAAATCTTACAGTATACTTCTGTTTAGGCAATTTATCGTTGCAAAACTCTTGCCATTTCTTTTACTTTTTTTAATGTAAAGGACTGGAGGCTTGCCTCTTTTGGGAAAGCTGGGCAGTCTACATTAGTTCATTGCTTTGCTATTTTAACAGTATAATTAAGTTTTGGAATATTGATGCATTTATTATGAGCACATTTATTCCCATTGGTATTGTTCATAATATCTAAAAACTAAATTATTCTACCTTGTTCTGGGGTCTTTTTGATGTTTTTTGGTCCCTTTTGAATTTGGCTAATGTGTATTTTTAATGGAAATTCATTGGCTATAAAATCTATATATTTTCAATTATATTTGTTACACTCACAGAATGATTCTGATTCTTTCAGCATGTGAATACTAAGAGTTTTGCAATAGAAGACAAAGGCCTGCTTAAAGGCTTTTATTTTCATTTTAAAAATATATTCAATTTCCCCCCTCTTTGCTAAGTATATATACGGAGCAATTCACATAATTATGTGACCTAGAAATACTGTTAACAAGTATTAACAAGCTTGAAACTGAAAACTGTTGAACTTCCTCCACAACAGTTTCATCCAGCTTTTTCTCTCTCCATTTCTGTCCGACAGGCCTAGATGCCTTTTCTGACTCTAATACTGTCTCCTGCATGACGGGCGTACACCATCTTCAAGCTCTAACTTCTCTCCACTACTGACTGCTGTGTATTTAGCAATCCCTTAAGATCTTTGTCACAGCTATACTTCCTGTAAAAATGGCCACTTCTTCAGTGCTGGTGTCTCTTACATTTGGGACAGGGGATCCTCTTTCTCTTGTATATGTGTCGCTTTGCCAGATATGTAGTCTTCTAGAATGTACTCTTAATATCCATTACTGTGTAACAGATGAGTTAACAAAGCTAAGAATGAAAATTCATAAGTAGATGTTTCACTATAATGAAAGATAGTTTAAGTTATTACACAAGAAATTAAAATGGCATGAAGGTTACTTTGACAAAGTAATTAGTTAAAAAAACTCAAATTGTAAGGCACATGCTTACATTGTATTTAGACTTATAACAGGTTTTAACATCAATATAGATGTCTTGACTTAATGCTTATTCAGAAGTAGCAGTGCTGTTTAGTATTCATGTGAAAATGCAATTATGCTTTTCTCTACTAATCTTGGTGATGGGTGACTTTGTGTATTTGTCTAATAAACTCAGTCCAACTGACGTCTGTCTCTGTCTTCTGCGTAGTACTTTCTAAACTTTTGTGTATGGAAAGATTTATTTTCCAAAAACAGCAAGATATTAGTAACTTGAAATAAAGCATAAACAAGTTACTTAGAGAATAAAGTTAAGAAATATTTCACCATGTAAATTGGTCTTCGGGGAAATGAAATAACATGTCACCAAATATATTACTGTAAAATTATGGCCTTGCATCTTAACTTTCTAGAATACTGTTAAGGTTAAAGTGCAAGACCTTAAAATATTTTGTGCTCTCATATGCTTCTATTCTTAATATCTGCTTGCTACGTATAAGCCAAATGAGATTGAGCCTCAATAAAATCTTGCTCACTCAGTTGTTGTTATAATGCTACTGCTTGGTGGTGGGCTTTTGTTGTATTCTTATTACTGCATCATGGTTTGTATAAAACCATGTAATGGGTTAGATGTCTGTGCTGCTAACAGAAATGTTGACTATTGTGCAAGGAATTGCCTTTACCTATACTGTTTTGATACACGTCCATTTAACTTCAGTGGAAATGAGCAATTAACTGTTCAGATAATTAAATCATTTTATCTTATTAAAACTATCTACCAAAACTTGTTTCATTGAAATGTATGAGAATTGTAATTCTTGGATAACTTGTCATCATGGTTATGTTAAAGTGATGCACCCCTGATAGATAATATGTGTGCTTATTTTTAATCTGTTTATCTCAGAGCTATTATCACAGAATCTTAGAATTAAGGGTTCAAAGTGATCTTGAAGATTACCCACTCTATCTGTTAAGAATAACTTTTTGTTAAATCTTGCTTATATACTTGCTTATAACTTGCTTATAACTTCAATGATACTTGCTTATAATTTCAATGACAGCAGAACATAACCAATTGGTGTTTAGTTGTGATCACTAAACTCTGACAAAGGATGAATGATTCTGTGGTTTTAAACGTGCTCATTTTTTTCAGGATGGCACTGGATCATTAAAACGCAGTGGTTCCTTTAGCAAACTTCGTGCTTCAATTAGACGCAGCAGTGAGAAGCTGGTTAGAAAACTGAAGGGAGGAAGTTCACGAGAAAGTCCTGGGTAATTATTTCTAGATGCAACACATAGGAATTGAATTATGCCTAAACCTATCCTGCTGTGTAATAGGTTTATCTGCTGTGCGAATGCACCAGAGTTTAATCCGGAAGCAGTTCTCCCAAAACTGCAGTACAGAGGATGTTGTTGAAAATTGGTCATAAACAGTTGTAAAAAGTTTGTTCTTAATTTGATTGTAAACAGTATTATGGCTTTGTAAAGTTTTTGACATGATATAAATGACTAGTTCAAGAATTGACTGCACTGTCATCTTACATAGAATGACTAATGCACTTGGCTGGAATTTCAGCAGGTTCTCCTTAATAAGGAAATATGAGCCTTTTAATTTATTCTGAAAAAGTTATTAAGATTTCATTTACCATATATATAATATCTCATTAAACTAGGTTATTGAATCTGTACAGATCTATTTAATTGGGTACCTGTTTACATTTAATAAACATGTAAACATGTAACATTTTTTTCAATTCTCACTTATTAATAAAAGCTGTTTCATCTACTTGTCTAGAATTCCTGCAAATAAACTATTGTTATATTAAAATGGACTGAAATTCTTTATCCAGTCCTTGTAATGAATAAAAGATATACTTGGTACCAATATCATCAGGGCTCCTTTTGAAATTATGCTCATTCTTCCTTATGAATCTTATGGTTTGAATTTGTTTTTTGTAAAAAACATGAATAACTTTGTTATTCATTCCAAATATATAGAGATGTGTTCTCATTCTCCCTCCTTCTCTCTCTCTCCCTCCCCCCTCTCTTTCTACACACACACAGACACACAGACACAGACACAGACACACACACACACACACACACTGTTAGAGATATAGTGTTGTTGTTTCCAGGTCTAAGTAAATAAACTGTTACCGATTTCATTACATGAAAGTATTATTAACTGTTACAAGAAGTTACGCAATACCATTTTCAGTAAGAACAATGGAGACAATCCTTGTTGAAAATATAGAAACCAATCTACCTATGGTGCTTTGAAAAATAGGTAACAGTAATAAAGGAAAGGAAAGTCTTTCTTTTAACAAGGAAAGCATCTTGATCAGATGCGATTCTTTTTTTGCTACAGTAAACATAGTTGCTTCTGGTTGTGATTATCTTTTGGCTTTGTCTGTAACTATCAGGGCCTTTATCCCATAATCTTTTCTATTTATGTCACTTTCTAGTTTGGAATATTTCAGTATTTAGGTTATTGATAAGGCAATTAAACTTTTTGGAGATACTTTTTCTCTGAACTACTAGATTTTCAGTCAATAAATAATAGCAAAATATTTCCAAAGCCACCCATACTTAAATGCACCTTTTGTTTCTTTCAAGAACATGTTTCCTTCTAAAACCAGCTTTTCTCTTTGTCTTTGAATAAAAAACAACTTTAAAATGTGAATACATTTTACAGGTCTTTTATATTGCTTTAAAATGTTGCATTAGCATAAGCTTTCATTTTAAAGAAAGTTTGGTTTACAAATAAAAAAAAATACTTAACTATTTTTATTGCTTCCCGAAGTGCATTATTTTATATAAACGACCATGATGATTTTTAGATTCAAAATAGCAGGTCTCAGAGCAGTATCACAAACTGCTTTTGACAGCATGTCTTAAGAGGCTTATACTCTTGGAAAACTGCTGTTTGTGAATCATAAATCCATAGGTTCAAAACATGTAGGACATCTTGAATGCTCTTGCAAGTGGGAATTTACCCAAATAGAAGAATAACAAGATTCCAACCTACTTTCATTCAATGCAAACTCTTGTATAGTTTAATCTCTAACTAATATGTCATTTGAAGTGGTATCTATCCATGATGATATTTATGTGTGATCAGTAAAACATTGGCCCATAATGTCAATTTTTAGGGTTGGGTTGTTTTTTTTTTAATAGAACAATCTACACCACTACCCACCTCCAACTTAGAACTTGGGGCCAATGCAGTGGTGGGTTTCAAAGTTTTTTAGAACCTATTTTGTGGGTGTGGCCTATTTTGTGGGTGTGGCTTGGCAGTCATGTGACCGGGCGGGTATGAACAACTTGATATCACTCATGCACACTCAGTCACATGACCACCACCCCCAAGCCATGTGGCAAAAATTTTTGGGTCTCCTATGAAGGGCGGGGGAAGAGAGGGGAAAACCTTCCAAAAATAGACAACTGGAGGATTAAGGGCCAAAATTAGGGAGATCGGAGAAGGCAGGACAGAGGGGAATCCAGTAGAAAGCTATCACATGCTGGGAAAAGAACTTTGGGAGATCGGAGGCGGCAGGACAGAGGGGAATCCAGTAGAAAGTTATCACATGCTGGGGAAAGAACTTTGGGAGATCGGAGGAGGCAGGACAGAGAAGAATCCAGGAGAAAACTCCTGAGCTTGCCGCTGCTGTCTGATGGATTGTGCCACTGGACCTCTCCATGCTTCTCTGTTCACCACCTCCACTCCCAGGTATGGGACTTGACACCGAATTGGGCTAGGATAGTGCAGACGGACGGGGTGAGCAAGCGATGGAGCTGCTTCCGGACGGGCAGGGTTGAGTGAGAGATAGGGCCGGGGCAGGCATTCCAGAAGTTACTTCCGGGTCCACCGGTCGAACCTCTTCTCACCGGATCGGTAAATTTCACCATCCAGTTCTCCCGAGCCAGTGCGAACCGGCAGAAACCCACCACTGGGCCAATGGTTTATTGAACATGCTTAAGGAAAACAAATTAACACTCAGCAGTAAATAATAGGTTTTTCTTTATCCAATTCTAGCCTCCACTAGGCAGAATATGCTCAGATCAAATTGACTAGATTTAATTTTTTATTACAGACAAGAAGCCATAAACAGTGATTTTCCAGTGCAATGCAAAGAAGTCACAGACTGTGTATATCTGTACTCTATAGCCATAAGATAACATTCTAGGCTTCTTCCTCCTACTTCTCTAAATTAACCAGTAGGCCTTTTGATGCTAATGTCCTCCTCTCAAGCCTTTATACACTCATGTTTTACACAGTCCTGTCTTTAGTGGGCTATTTAGTGCTGATATTAGTTAAAATACTCAGAGTTTCCCCCCTGTATTTTATTGATTTGTACTTAAAGGAATGGTGCTGCAAGAATAATAGTATCATGACCTGGTTCCATATTCTAATGCAGAAGGAAATTTTGAAACACTTAAAAACCAGATTTTGTCTTGCTAAAGATTTCCCACCATATACTACACTAATTCTTGTATTCCAGAACAATTAAATTTATATCACCCTGGGTATGAAGTCAATTTTTAAAAAATGATTATTTAATGTTTCAGTGTCATCTGTGGATAGTTTTCATTTAAAAACTGATAGATGTTCATATTTGTGCTGTGTTAAACATTTTTAGATTAACAATATTTGTTTTATATATATATATATATATATATTGCATGACTTACTATTTTACTACTTAAATATTGCATGACTTACTACTTTATGTTGATAACACCTGTATTTTAATATGCATGCAATGAAGTTCTTGGATATGCAGAAATATATTGTTATGGTTGGCACTAATACAGTGTAAATATTTCTTGTTTTGTATACCTTAGTTTATAATAAATTTATACGTATATATGTTGCTGGGACTGTCTTTTGGCTAATCTGTGCCAAAAGATACAGTGTTCCTGTCTATTGATATGGACTTGCTTTACCCACAACACAAATCTATAAAACCAAGTAATTTTAGCCACCATAATCCGACCTTGCCAGTGTAGGGAATAAACTGTTGCAAATTTTCCATTAAAAGTCCCTTATTTTGTAACTTATCAAGTGAGTAACTAAACTGACTGGGTAGTAATAGCCAGCTGTCTCAATTTTTTCATCCCCAAACATCCAAGTTTAATTAGTCACCCAACTTTATGGTTTTAGATCTTAAAGGTTCATAAAAATCCTAGCTGGCATATGTCCAGATTTTGCCTACATTTACTTCATTTAAAGTTAATGCAAATGTTTGCTGTGCGCAGCACACCAAGAGTTCAGAAAAATAGTAATTTATGTATTATGCTACTTGGTTTTAAATCTTTTAATTAAGTCTGCTACCTTTTTTTTAGAAGCCCCCAAATTATTAATGTTGTAATTCAATGTAGGATAATTGTTCAAGAAATCTTGGAATATACCAGAGAAATACTACAAGGTTTTATAGGCATTGTTACAGCTAAATATGATGATGATAATAATAACATCCTCTGGAGCTTAAAAGTTGATTACCTTTTTTAATACAGTAAGATTTGATGCCAAATCTCTGCAGATTGTGAATTTCAGTTGGTTAATGTTAGAATGTTAAGGCAGAATTTTGACAACCCCTCAGTCTGATCTCATTTGCAATCCAGATCAGAGAAACTACCTCCAGAAAAGAGAATCTCTCAAAACCAATTAAAGCTATTAAGGGACAAGTCAAGATGGGCTATTATTTGTCCATTCAGTTATCAAGAATGAATGACATGTTCTTAACTAAAGGATTTTTTTAAAAGGTAGATACTGGCAGTATTATATCTACCTTTAAAATAATAATTTAAAACAGTATGATACCATTTGAGTTTTAGAAGCTCTGTGGTGGGATTGACCAGTAAAAAGAATTTAATAGTTAGTAAAATGGTACTTTAAAAAATCTTAAATTTTATGATCTTTTGTGATAAATATAGGAAAATGTGTGTATACTAAACTGTATTTCTTTCAGTCATAATAGTATTATTAGTGTAGGAGTTATTTTGTGTTAAATGTTTTGTGTATTCAGAGCTTTCCGTTTTCAGCTCTTCTGATTGGTTTATCATTGCATGTTCACTGTCCAGCATGAAGCGTGCCAGTTCAATGAATATTCTTAACGTGGGTGGCAAAACAACTGAAGATCATTTTCAAGTAAGAAGCCCTATAATATTCTTATGCAACTAGACGTTACTGGCAGGGCTTAAAATAGGTAAAATGACGAATTTGGGCATATCAGAACTCAACTCAGACATGGAACTAAGTTTGATAGTGTTTCATTCCTAATTTTATGTCACAACACTGCAACAATCTATTTCAAAGCTTCTAGTATGTAGGCCCAACAACTTTATTTAAAATGGTCATCAACATTTGCAGTTTTACCCTTTTATACCGTGTTTCCCTGAAAATAAGACAGGGTCTTATTTTCTTTTGACCCCTGAAATAAGTGCTTGGCCTTATTTTTGAGGAGATCTTATTATTTTTGAGGTGCAGGAGGCAATATTTTCAGGGAGGGCTTATTCTCGGGGGGGAGGGCTTATTTTAGCACATGCGCTCAAAAGCCTGATTGGGCTTATTATCCGGGGAGTTCCTATTTTCGGGGAAACAGGGTATACTATTGACTGCTGCTAATTCATTGCTCTTTCTATTCTCTGAATATTTTAGGGCACGAATTCCAGGGTTGTCATTAGAAACAATAAGTCTTTCATACAGATAGCAAATGAGGTGGCAGAACCATGCAGTTCAGACTACTATCAGGTGTTGTGTAATTGAACATGTCTTCTTGGGTTGTGGATTTGCATTTCTTGCATCTGTCTTACATATGCTTTTTTTGTAGTGAAGAGAGTAAGTCATAAATGTTGTATGAATGAAGCTATCTGGAGACTATGATAAAGATAATTGACTATATGGGGGACGACGACGACATATCTTATATTATCTTTCCCATAATAGGGAAGCAGAGGCTAATAGAGTTGTGAGAGATGTCTGTAAAAGTATTTATAAATACTTTTAGGTAGCAGACATTGTATTATCTTTATTGTCTTATGTATGGACAGTGTTATTCTGTAATGGCTTGTAGTATATTAAAGGCATTAGAAATTACACATAAATTCATTGATGTTCAAGTCCCCATCCCTTTTATACTATTTTACCATATGGTTTTTCAAAATCATCAAAATGCTTTTCCAGAACAATCCTTGTCTTCCACCTTTACTATCAAGGGAAAGCAGACAGTTGTTGGCTGCTTTATATTAACATTTTCTGAAGTTTGCAAGGTTTACTTTCATTGTCCAAGCATTTTAAGTGGCTATTGGAGTTTAGTGTCACACTGATTAGGATTAAAATATATCTGAACAACATCCAGCATACTGATGCACTTAAGTGTCAATCCACAGCAGTTTCTCAGTTGTATAAATTGGAGAGTTAGTCTAGAAGGCAATTAACAGTGGATGGAATTTTGTGTGGCTTTTCCTATTTGCCAGCTTTTGCTAAAGTCAGAGACTACTCAGAGCTTGGTTTAATCTCTAGAGTAACTTTAACCTGTCCCAAGGAGCAATAAATAAAAATAAGTTGTGCCCCTGATTAATTACAGGAAGATTTAAACTGGCAAAAATCCAACCAATACTTTTCATAAGGATTGTTTTTTCAAAGTTCAATTTCTACATAGTACTTGCTAATGAAAATCATTGGATAGGGCTACAATCTTTCATAAGGGAAAATTAGATCTTAAAATATTAACTGGGTCACATTTTAATAATGTCTGCATGAAGACTCTCCTTCACATGTCTTAATATTTGTCATGTTTGGTAGTCTTGTTTAAATGACCAATATTATATTGTGGCTGTTAACTAACCTTATAATTTCAACTAACACAGTTAACAATGTAGCAGATGTTTCAATAATAATGTGTAACACCAGGAGAGTAAAAACCTATACATGGGTAGTTCCAGTTGTCTGAAATATTCTTGCATTTGTATAAAGCCCAAAATAAAATACCCAAACCAATTAAGAACTTCAGTTTTAAAAATGGAACTATTTATAAATGCTGCCAACATCTTGTGGAATATAATAACAAGGGTTAATAAAAGTAAAATAGTTGGAGGGATAAAGTTTGGAGGGACAAATCTCAGTTTTTGTGACATTTGTTTAATACGGTTGTAAGGGTAAATATTTAAATAGCATGGATATGAAAAAAATGTAAAATGGTTATATTTTTATAATATGAATATATTTGATGTGCATTTTATATTACAAATAATCATAGCTCTTAGCATTTTCAGGATGCAACATTGCATTTTTTCTTTTTTGCTGAAGTTGCTATATTTTTATGAGTTCAGTATCCTGTGGCAGAACTCTTTATTAGTCAATGTTATCATACAAACCATAGAATTAAGGATTTTTTAAAACTACTAAGATATCTTAAGTTCTGAAAAAAACAGATTTGAAGATCTTTCATGTGCACATGCTATCTTAGAAACACATTCTTTTTAATTGCTCACTTTTTAAAACAAGCATGATAAAAAAAATTGATAGTACAATTGGCTACTTTGTCTGATAAAAAATGATTTGACTGAACATGTGTTCTTCAATTAGCCACAGTTTGAGAACAGTTTTACACTTGTGGCAGAAAAAGATACTTTAATTAGGAGCTTTTTGGATTCCTCTTTAAGGAACTGAATCAGGTACTGACAAAGCTATGAAATGCTCTTGTTGCATATTGGAATAAAGCCTATCTATTAATTGAAAGTGGGCTAAATAATCTTGAAATTCAATTAAGATCCTAAAACTAATTTTAGGTAAACAGTATTAGTCTTTCTTTTTATTTTGGATTACCATACATTTTGTTCATTCGGCGTTTGTATTTTTAAATGACTGCAAAGTTTAGAATTGTATATAAACTCTTTCTGTTCTCTTTCCTATGCAGGGACGAACTAATTGTCTGACAGATTCAAGAGTTAAGAGTGTCAGTCACACTGATTTGGCCCACTGAGGTTCTGGAAGAGATGCTAGCTAAAAATGTTCGCGTGAATCATGAAGCACTGAGATTTACAGGTTTTGTGGGTCCACATTATGATCTTTTTAGCACTTTCTAGGTTAAAGACATAACAGATGGACTATTCCTAGGTTCTCTTAAAATAACTGTCATTTTAAAGAATCCTAGAGTTAGCAATTAGCTTCTTTCTGAAGCATGCTGAGTTTATTGTATTGTTACTAGCAATTTGGAGTTGTGTTACAGATAGCTGTATAGCAGTATTCATAAACAGAGAAAAATATGCCCACAAAATAGAAAAAGGAACTGAAGTACAAAAAATGCAAAAGCTTTCCACAACGTGCTGTTTTAAAACTGTTACAGGAACATCCATTATTAACTATGTATGCATTTGCTAGAATGAGATTTACAATAAGTTCATCGCTGTAAGGAATAAGGACTTTGTACACATTATAGATTACAGATACAAAAATTGTCATGTAGCTTATGACATTCAGGTTTTAAATCAGGAAGGCAAGATACTGGTTAATTGGAAAGGAATAACTTTGACACCTCTTGAAAATGACAATAGCCAATTAATTGTGGCTATCTTCAGTTTAAAAATTAATGAAAGTGGTACAGTTTACTTTAACGTAGAAGAGAAAAGCAGAATAAGCTAAATCCATCAGGTTTTTTGTCTTTTGATTTTAATCCCACAGAACTTTTCTTTTTTTCTCAGCCCAGAATTATAAGTACTTACTACCTCTTGAATCTGACTTCTATTTCAATTTGGAGTGAAAAAGAGGAAAAAATAAGTACTTTACTGTGAAGTTGTGGCTTGCAAGAGGGTCTCATAAGAAATTTGTCAGGATAAAAAAAGCCTATTAGTGGCAACTTTTTCAATCTTCCATTGAATCTTCCATTCAATCGTTTTTCTCTTCTCAGGGGACTAGATAAAAAGGATGTTTTATCTTTTTCCATTTTGCAATACTGTTATTTGCAAGCAGGAACTAGGAAATTTGTGCAAGTCATGATTGTATACCAAGAAAATTAAATCTCTGGCCAGTAGGAATAACCAAGCTAAATTAATTTTATTAATTTCTTGCAGTACAATCAATGTTAATGTGAACTGCAGAGGTTAAAGCACTAAACGGAATGTATTCTAGTTTTTAAAAAATTACATATAGCAAGATTTTTGGTTAAGCAGTCCAGTCTTTAAATGAAAAGTGAGAGCTGGTCAATGCTGCTGACTATGTAGAGGTTTTGTGAAAACATTGCATATCATTTGTAAATATCAGTGAATTATACTTGCTGGTTCACAGTGGAGTTGGTTATATTGTTCTTAACCATCTTAGTTAAATTCTAAAATTCTGAACTGACTTTGGAAAGCAAATATAAAGAAATCAAAAAGCTGAAGTAAGATACAATGACTCCATTTTTAAGTTATTGTATTTGGCATTCCTGTCTGAAAAGGCTTTACATTACATTGGTGGTATATTCTAATACAATTTCAGTCTGTTACTCAAAGTGGACTATAAATATGCCTTATTCAATATATTTTTGAGAATAAGAGCATAAAATCTAAAGCTCTTTGGAATGAAATGGTTAGGTTATTAAAATAATACTAGTCTCCCTTTTTTAACAATTTTTCCATTTTTATTTTCTTAAGGAGAAAAAGATGCATAAATAAAATGTTTTGTAAGGTAACATGGTTGTGAGTTACATTGTCCTTTGCATTTAATAACATTTTTTTCAAATGAATATTCATATTTAGCTTTATATTGTTATAAAATTACCTCTTGAATGCATGCAGCTTAAATGAAAGTTGAAAATATATGCTGCCAAAAAGGTGAAGGGGGCAGCCCTTTAATGCCATCTTGTTTTGAACTTATAACAAAGTATAGTAGTATGCTTAAAGGAATGAACCATAACAGCTGTCTCTTCATTTGGTGGGACTAAAATTTTGATCTGTCCAGTAGAATTTATGAATACTGTTACTTTATGTCCTCCAGATGAGATGAAATAAATTCTCAGAATTCTTAGGTCATCTAGACTTAAAATTCTGGAAATTATAGGAATAGCTATTTTTAGAAGGAAAATCTAGTATATTATGTATTATGAATAAGAGAATTGACCTAAAATATTAATATTCTCACATGGAAATACATATTTGTGGCTAATCTGTATGACTGTGCTAAACTTGGTTCTTAGTCATCTGATTATCCTGCCTTGCTTATTATGGATCTATCTGTGAATAAGAAATGACAGAAAATATTTACCTGATACTTTTCTTTGAAGCAGTTTACTCAGTACATTTGATTAGAAAAATGGATATACACAAATCTATGGCTGGACCATGCTGTGAGATGGGCAGTTGTGATAAGCTATCACTCTACTGATATACTATTGAGGAAATTATGAATATAGTATATCTTCTGCAATGTTACATAAAAATTACCATATATTTCTAGTTCATGATACAAACAGTTCAGCCTTTCACTAATTTAAGTGAGTATTGTGGAAAAATAAATCACATACCATTCATTTCATTAGAATCTTGTATTTGGTACAAAAATAACTTTTCTTTGTACATCTGTTGTACCTATTTGAAGAACTGAGTCCTCACCAGCAAAACCTATTATAAAGGGTTTTGTCCACTCTCAGAAGTAGCTTAAGCAACAATCTGTGTTTTGTATAACCTCTAAAGCACGATTTCTTCCCTACCAAGTACACTTCTTCATAATAAATGATTTAATCCTGTCTTAGAAATGTATCTGTGGAAACAACAGGGCCATCCAATTAAGTCCACATCTGTCAATGAATCCCTTTTAGACCTCATAATTGTAATCTGAAAAATAAGTTTGAGGTGTTCAAGTGAAACAAAAGGAAAAGAACATGATCAATAGCTATGTGGGTTCTTTCTGTTAGGAAGATTGCCATTTCTCACAACGCTGTGGTAAAACAGCAGTGAATTGAAAGCTCAATTGCAATATTAATCTATCTGACATCTGCACATTAAATGTCTTGGCAGCAACATTATTCAGATAGATTTTTTTCTCTTTAATTTTAATATAGTATAAGTGATGGTGATAATCTAAATTGCCCATTACATTATACATTGTCTTAGACAATACTGTTCATTACTACCCAAGTCACAATTTTATTTGTCTTATAAAATAAGTTGCAATATTAAATATAGTTTACTTAAGCTACATCTATAATAGATGTTCCTATATCTATTTAGGATGCTCAAGAATATAGTTAGCCCCAAGACAAGTCTTTGAAAGAAACATTGGGGTTGGACTAGAAGACCTCCAAGGTCTAACTCTGAAGAATAACTCTGTTATTCTGTTATCATGGTGATCTAAAACACTTGCCTTGATTCAGTAGTTATTCATATGTGTATGAAAAATTGGCATTAGTAGCTTCTGGTTTCAAGAAAATGCTTCATGGAAAACAATTCAGATGTTTACTACAGATATCCTTCTTTGCAAGCAGGAATGCTTTTTAGATTTAACAATGTTAAATCAGCTGGCTTTGTGTTACACTAGTAATTCCACTGATTATGGAAAATTAAGTATTTTTATTATATATATTTCTGAACAGATTGTGTAGTGTTTTACTGAATTTGTTTACAATGTTGAAATACACCAATTTGTTAACAAGGTCAATTTTCCCACTGAACTCTGCTACTATGAAATCTGCTGAAGTACAAAATACATACTTGTAACATAAATTCATGTAAAAAATATTTCACCAGAACATGTTTATATTTTGCTGAAGTTATGAATATTCCCTTTTAAAAATATGGAACTGTATTTCATTATTGTATATCTCAAAATTAAATTAGAAAAATGTTACTTTTAAAAACACATTACTGTAATTCTTAACTCATGTGTAATTATCAATGTGCAGTTCTTTTTCTTCAAATAGTAAATTAAATAGTTTTTGTACCCTGTATGTATGACTTACCGCATAACTGGATGTAATAATGGCATTTCATCTGTGCACTTTATGTATGGCAGCACTCATGGGGCTATTGTGTAGATATTCAGCTAAACTGCTGAAATGAGAGTAATTCACGTACTCTTTTGAAAATCGCTTAAGAGCACTTAAAGATACCATAATCAGAGAAAAAATCAACAAAGTAGCAGTTTTAAAAAAGGAAATAAATTGTATAGGTAGTCTTCAGCTTACAACAGTTTATTTAATGACAGTTTGAAGTTACAATGGCATTGTTTTTCACACAATTGTGGCAGCATTCCCATGGTCATGCGATTAAATTCAGACTTGTGGCAACTGACTCACATTTATGCCGGGTGTAGTGTCCCAGGGTGATGTGACCTTTTGAGATCTTCTGGCAAGCAAAGTCAATGGGGAAGCCAGATTCATTTAACAACCTTTTTACTAACTTACCAACTGCAGTGATTCACTTAACAACTGTGGCAGGAAAGGGTGTTAATGGGGCAAAATTCATAGTATAGTTTTAACACTGGAAAATATTAAAATGGAAACAGTCTAAATCAATCTTAGATTTGATTCTACATATTTTATTTTTAAAATTTGAATTTACTCTTTAAAACAACTGAGGAATTTTATTCTTACATGAAGAAATAATGCATGATCAATTTATCTTCAAAACTAAAAAAAATGGCTCTTTTAAAAGTTATAAAGTTTGATTTTTTTTAATTGGAACAAAATATTTTCAATTTGCCACAACAATTTCTTTAATTTATTTCGATTCTTAAATGGATGTTATTGCAAAAACATTTGCCCTAGGCTAAAGAAGCAGACTTTCTTCAAAAGTGTATAGCATGGTGTCTCTTTTGTTTTGTTTTAATCTGTTACAGAGTTGTGAAGTATTTGTTTCATTTTTAAAGCTTTCTTGTTACTCTCAAAGTGTAAAAATAAAGAATCAAACAGAGTTACATAAATGTGATTTCTTTATTAAAGGAACGGAAATGTTCTGTGCATGAAATATTTACAATTAGTCATCAACACTGGTTGCTTAGCAACCATTGGAAGTTCCAACAGACCGAGAAGAGGGTGTGTGTGTGTACTTCAATCCAAGTTTGAAGTTCCAAAAGTGTGCTCCCCCGACAGCCAGAGGACTGCACTTTGCACACTCAAAACTAGGCCATCTTTACAGCCATTTGCAGTGTTCTGTGATCAAGTTTTACAAAATTTTGCTGAAAACCAGCATTTACTTCTGGGTTTTGGCAAAACCACACCTGTAGTGAACCATAAGAATCACTGCATTTGCTTAACTACCGTCACAAAAAAGGACTGTTAAAAGTGGGGGCTCGCTTAATGGCCATCATGAGTTACAACATAGCAACCAGCTATGAACTCTGGGAGTTGGAAGTCCCAACATCTTAAAACATTGTCTTAGAAAATAACTACGTTCACAGAATATTGTCTCCTTGTTCTTTCAAACAATTTTTGTAATTCCACCCACTGCTGTATATACATGATATGCTGCTATATCCAATCCATTACTTTGCATAATTCTCACAGAGGGCTGTATTGCCAACTTCTGTGTACCTAAAAAACAACTTGTGTGTCAAGATTATTGTGTACTGATCCACATTTCAGAGGAACGTTTGGGGAATTTATGAAAGAAATTTATCCTACAAATGTACAGTCTTGAGTAATGTTGCCTGTTTCTCCATAGAGAACAAAGTTTGTCCTTAAAAATATCATTAAATTGGGAGAGGATGGTATTGTCTTAAATACCCCGAAGAGTATTGTATTATAGACAATGACATGTTTTTGTTTAATTTTAACTGTTTGTTTTATCTTCAGGTCATTGTTCTGCGAAATTGTTATGGTATTTCTAGTTAGCTAAGACAACATGATGAGACCGGAATTAAATATTTACAGGAAAACAATCCAGCCAAAGTCAAGTGTATTTTATTATTTTGAAAAATTTCTAAATATATACTCAACTTTTAATCAGCCTGTAAAGTAAGTAAACATAGTTTATACTAGGAAAGCTGAATGTTTGCATTGTAAACTTAAATAACCTTCATCTTTAATTTAACCAAATGGTAATCTGAATTTTTGTAGTAAAATAATTGAGTTCTGCAGTCTGTTTAAAATGGAATCCAATGAAAGTTGTGTCACTTAATGCTTTGAGTCATGATGGAGATAAAATACTCCCATCAGTTATTTTCCAGACATTTCTGACATAATTAAAAAAAGATTCAGTATAAACAAAAATCTAACATTCTCCATTGCTGCTGCGGTATTCAACATTTGTTCACAGTATGTTAAAATGTTATTATCATCATCTATTTTAGTATTTACCTGACTTTTCGATAATCATTTTTACTGTCTTAAACATGATTTAAAGTACATGCAAATTGCTACATGGTATTAACAAAAACTTAAAAGCTTTTAAGCTTAAACAAAAGTTAATTAACAGTGTATAGATTATGAGGAAAGAATAATGTCTCATGTATTCCTATAGAGAAAGTTTATTTATTCGGACAAATAAAGAATCTAGGATGTATTATCCTTGAATAAAGCGTGGCCACAAGAAGCTGCTATGTTTTAATAATTTACGAGAAAGCATGCAATATGCTAACCAACACTTTGTGATCTGGAGATGTTTTAATAAGATCAACTTAGGCTAAATATTATTTGAACAGGACTTCCTCTGAGAATGGGAATCTTTGTTTAAGTACAGTATAATAAAATATTTCTAAAAACAAAATACAAAGTGAAGGAATACTCTCCATATAATTTTCCATAAATTGCATTGAGAAGTTTCTTCAAGCAACTGCAGAAATCAATTACAGCATTTAGAAAAAGCATCTACCAAAATATGATGTTGGAAAAAGTGTATAACAAACTTAGGTATTGTATATAGGCACAATACTTGACAATGATATGAGAATAAGTGAAGTTTAAGCAGCAGATTGTCTCTGCTCATCCCATGAAATCCAACTAGTATGTATGGATATTTCAAGTCCTTCTAATGAAATAGTGTCATGTATCAGGATTTAGAAAGTTTGTCTTCTATGTTACAACATCAGCCCTATGGAATTTCATTCCCATCAGATTTTGATTATCCCAACTCTGTTGGCTTTCCATAAGACCTTGACAAGTTGTTTTTCTCCCAGGCATTGAGCCAATGCTGGATAAGCTCATTCTGAAATGACTTTTAATTTGAGTCAGTTGGGATTTGGCCTTAACCTCTACTGTGAAGGATTTAAAAAATTTTTTAGCCATGTCTAAGCCCCCCAGAATTGCTAGGGGCAGCCACACAAATCCTTTAAACAAATAGTAAATAAATACGAACATTTAAGTCTTATTATCTTTTCCCCCCCCAACGGGACATGAGGACTTTATCTAGTAAGTTTCATCTCCTGGGGTTCTTGTGTATTTTTATAAATTTTATTTTTAGAAATTTAGAAAATGAAATTATTTTTCCCGTGTAGAGACTGCAATGGAAGTTACCTATATGTACATTTAGTGCACAGGCAGAATATAAATATTTCTTCATAAGTTAAAAGAGAAGAGCAAAAAAGTTAAAAAGACATTTTCATCTTTGTCATCTTAAAGGTAAACGGGACCCAACTAAATCTCGTCAGGAAAAGAATTCCCCAGCCATGCTAGTAAGCTGCATCACACCATTAATAGTCTACCCCGACTTTAAAAGAGTGCAGCACATTTAAATGGATCTCTTAAGTTATTTCAGCCTAGGCACTGAAAATGTAGCATGTTGATCCTGTGTTAAATACACATAAATGTAATTGGTGACAGCAAAGAATTTCCTTTCTAGAAATACAGTTTAACCTTCAAAGGTTTTTCAGTTCAAACTTATTTTATCAGATGTTTGTGATATATTTGTTTTGTACTGCTAAAGTGGATTCTTTTATATACTGAAGTTTTGTTGTTCTATTTTTGTAGTTTAAACTGGAGTTTAAATTGTTGTTTGCGATCATTCTGAGAGCACAATCCAGATCAAATAATACAAGCATTCTACCGAGCAAGCACTTTGCTGAGCAGACAGGATAATGCAATAGATAAATAGGATGATACAATCACAGGAACAGATTGAGGATTTTAAATATATGAGCTCCATTTTATATTGAAAATGGTTAAAAAATACTGCTTTACGTTTCTTCATAATCATGACTGATTTTCCCAACTCCTTTTACACCTTCTAAATTTACAGTATAATAGCAAAAATGCTGCGGCAAATGAGGTGCAAAAATAATTCTTAACATTCGGAGTTCACTTTTACTATACAGTGTTTCTCCACCAGTCAGTGCCTGGTTTACAGTACGGCACACCATCAATCTCATCAACAGCTGATTAGACCAAGTTATTCCCAGTGCTGGAACAACAGTCCTGGCTGAGCAGCTGAAAAACAAAGCCTGCAATTATAAAATATTTTACTCAATTTTGAACTAGGGGGAAGTAAGCTTTTTTTAAAAATGATTTCTTGGGCTAGGCTAATGGAAACCCTACAGCAGTTTTTACCAAATTGCATTTACAATAAACTAAATATTATTACACAGAGGAAATAAATAGTATTCATTTAACTACTGCATTTAAATTCCATTGTTAAATCTATTTTTTGTTGTTCCAGAAGCGTGCAGCTACCCACAGCCCCAAATTTACACAATCCTGGGACAGATGAATTAATGATCTGGTTTGATCTAAGGGAGGGCTGCCAAACTTGCTGGCCGGGTGCGTCATGTGCCCGTGCCCGATTTAGCAAAGGAAAAAATCCTGATATGTCACGTGACTCCACCATGACGATGCACGTTTGACACCCTTTATCTAAGGCAATTTTGTTGAACTCTTTAAAGATTAATGTACTCTTATAAGAGTGATCTGTTCTAGCAAATGTTATAACATATTAGATACTTCAGAATCACATTAGGGTAGAATGTATTCCATTGCATCATATTATTCTGTGAAAATGTGCTATCTGTTGAAAACTTATTTTAACTAAAAAGAAAGTTCTGTTGGGTAGAGGTGTGGTTAGTCACAGCCTCACTCATCACAGTTACTGTTTCAATGTAGCAGAATCCATATAAAATCAGGTATTTACACCTTGTGTTTGGGGCTAGCCATAGAATCCAATAGCAATCCTTACATCATTCCAACTCAAAATGAGTTATTCTAGCTAAGAATCCAGTATCAGCACATGCACACTACTGCACACATACAACATATATGAGATGTGTTTAGATCTTTCTCTCAGTTTTGTGTGCATATGTGTGCACATGTGCGCATACATATGTGCTTGCTGAATTTCTTTTTCCACTCACCTTTGAGTATTCCAAACAGCATCTTCTCTCACATTTATTGCATCAGTTACCTAGAATATATAAAAGAAATCAAGAAAAAATGTCCATTCAATGCTTTGTCAGAATGTAGTAATAGGAAAGAAATAATTTTACTTCAGATTATTTACTTCTAATAAAATACTTTGGCTAAATCATACATAATTAACCAACCTTAATTCTGGTGAGACCAGAATTTTACTTGCAAACATTCCATTCTTAACTAGGAATTTCATCTAAGTGTTTAAATCAATGTCCAGTCATACATTAAAACCAGTTAGATGTAAATAGCTCTCATGAAATTAGTGGGATGTTGCTAAGGCAAGCAAACTCTGCTATTTTACCTGATTAATGCATATTATGGGGGTCTGGAACGTGCAACTTAATCTGTGAAGTTTTGCCCCAAATTTCTGTAAATATTTAGCTTTCTGGAGAGAATCTGTAGCACTGAATTCACATCTGAACAAGGCAGCAATGGAGTCAATAATGATTAGCCGCACCATTCCTCTCGAGAGCAGCAAGCTAAGTCTCTTAGTAATGCATTCATGGAAAGTGTCCTGTAATAAGGAAATACAGCAGGATGCATGTCAAGTACAGAACAGTTGTTAAAAAAGTCTGGTCCACTGGATGCACAGTAATTGCTACAATAGCTAGAGTAATCCTTATTCCAAAAATTGTATTTGTTTGCAATGCCAGCAAACAGCAAATTGTATACTCAATCCATCAGAGCTTTATTGAGTCAGGAAGCTGAGTGAGAATTACAGCAATGTTGCAAAACTATGCACATTATCTTGAGACTAAGTTCCAATTAACCCTTCTGAATGTATAATAGGATTACATTAAGATTTTTACAGCAGGATTATTGGTATGGCTCCTCATTCTAAAACAAGAGAATAAATATCCTTTTTCCATGCTTGGAAATATGATTATTCAAAGCTTCTTTCTGCCAAAGCGGACTAGCATTTTTCCAACCAGTGATATTTTTCCATGGTGTCAGATAGGGGTCAGTCCCCTGCACATAGATCCTGCCTAATGTCACCATCAGCACTGAAATAAATACCAACAGGAAAGGATTAATTGTGGCCAGCACAAATTGATTTACCATACTTTTCGGAGTATGAAACACACTTCCTCCCCCCCCCCAAAAAAAGAGGGTGGAAATGTTGGTGTGTATTATACACCAAATATGGCCATTTTTGGCCTCCTGCCCCGCATATCTTGTTTTTGTCAAAAATGGACCCATTTTTCAAGCAGAGAGTTTCGGAGGCCTGCAGAGTGTTCCTGGGGGTTGGGGAGGCCAAAAACAAGATGCCTGAGAGGCCAAAAACGGGGCCGTTTTTTTGCTAAAATGGGATGCACAGAGGGTTTGAGAGGCCTGCAGAGCACACCTGGGGCTGGGGAGGGCAAAAACTTTTTTTCTTGTTTTCCTCTTTGAAATCTTATACGCCGGTGCATCTTATACACCAGTGCATTTTGTAGTCCAAAAATATGGAAAGTCTTCTAAAATAAATTACCCCACTCCAAACTGAAATATATCCTACTAACTTCAGAGCTCTGCTGCATTACTATCAGTGAAACCCGTAAGCCATTTATAGAATGGTATAGAATCAATGCTTTTCTCTGCATAATTTTTATTTTATGTTCCTGATGGAGCATCAAATTGGGAAGTAAAGAGTATAGCTGACAAATCACTCCAGTAAAAAACCAAATGCAGGAGAAATATACTGGAAAGCAAGTTCTTATCAATACATGAATGGATTCATTTACCCTTCTGGCTACTGTTCTAGTAAGTGAAACAACCTCTTCCCCAATGACCCATTCCCTATTAATATTTAGGAAAGTGGCTAAAATGCAGTTATTCAAAAACACGTTTACATGTTGTCACTGGGAGATGCTACGTCAATATCATCCTGGGTAAATTAAGACATTACCTTGTGATTTTGTTATCCTGTGTTTTATCTGTTTTATACTGCACACTGCCAGGAATCTATATGGAGTAACCATATATCAAGTAAGTATGGAGGTCTGACCAAAAAAGCTGGTTAAAAAAGTTGCATTTACAAAGGTTGATGTGTAGTAAAAAAGCTTAACCTTGTATTTGTGATAAAGGCCTAACTTTAAAAAAAATCATGGCCTTTTTATTTCTTCCAAGCTTTGTAGCAGCAATGGCCATAAAAGGAATTTGTATTCTGTTTAACCAAGTAATGTGTTCCATGTGTACACACACACATTTTCTCACCAGGAACTTAATCAGGATATGTACATCTGCATTGCCCATCTGTTTGTGTCAGATGTCTAATTAGGATAGATCCATGGGAGTTGCCTCTGGATACAAATTTCTGTTCTTCATATATTGTATCTATTTGGCTTTCAATATGTGCGTGCATCAAAAACCATAGGCCAAGCAGCAAACATGGTCATGTGATCAAGAGAAGGGAGGGGTTTAGAATAGGAGTGGTGGCATGCTGAATCATTGCCCATCTCCTCCTCACAAATGGATGCGTTGAGGTGTTTTTTTCTTGCACCCATTTTCTAAATCAATATTTTTTATTTCTTTTTTTCAGCTTTTCCTATCACGTCAAATATGGTCATATTATGTTCTGTTTGAAAGAATTATTCTTCTGACAGACAGATAGCCATCATTTTGAGCCCTTTTAGGAAATGACTTTCTAATATGCCATTGGGTCAGAAAGAACAAAAGGAAAGCATTTGACGTACATTATTCTCTTGGGCATTCCACTTTTGTTTTCCTTTCCTTAAAAAAAATTAAAAATGTTAAGCAAAAGGTATCCTGTGGAATTCCAGTGTATTTTCTCACAAAGGAAATGCTGAGTATGCCAGAGGAAAAACAAGCAACTGATTAAGCCAGATCAATTTCTCTTTAAAATCAGTACAATGCAATGCCTAGTTGGAAAGATTTTCTACGCCTGAAGCATAGTAATCAAATGCCAATCAATTCCACTCTCTGCCAATTTTGAAACAGCAAATGAAGTCTCCCCTATCCTTGCTTGCTTTTCTGTCTCACTTAACTTCCTTCTAGTTGGATTTCTCCTCATTGAGGGCAGTGATGCCACACCCTTGTCTCCAGAGTACAAGTTTATGGAGGCCTGCAGACTAGTTTGATCACAGTCCCTGAGTTTTACTGCTGTCCACCATTTAATGGACCGTTTTAACACCAGAGGTATGCAGAGAACAAAATGCAAATTAACATTAATCAGTGAGGCAGACTATAATTTGCCTTTTATGCCCGAAATTAAAATTCAAGGCAATAATATCATTTAAAACAATGTATATCTTTATAAAAATAGGCAGTGAATGATTCTGTGACTCATTTATCATCATTTATGGGATTTATTATTGACTAGTTAATAACCTGGTNCCTCAGGGGCGAAGCAGCCATGAGATGACCATGCTCACGAGCTACCGCCTAGCAACTCCCCTCTCCAGCCGGGCAGAGCGCCATTCATTGACCTAGGGGGTATCCCTAAGGCACCAAGGCACGTGACGCTCTGCCTGCTCCCCAGCTCCCGTGGCTTGGCACATTAGGGATATCCCCTAGGTCAGTGCATGGAGCTCTGCCCGGCTGGAGAGGGGGGTTGCGCAAGTGCCTGTTCCGCCCCCAGCGGCTCTTCTGCCCCCATGCCTCACAGCCTCACTATGCCCTGGCCAAGCTCTCCCTGCAGAGTCAGGGCGCCGCCCCCCACGCGGCGCTCTTAGCATAACTTCTTCTCCAGCTTCCAAACTCCAAAACCCGGTTGCCGAGTCTTCCAGCAGCGGCCATTCTAGGAGTGCGGTGTATGGTTGTGGGCCAGCTGCTGGAAGACTCTCTGTCCGGAAGATAGTTTTGACACATGGTAATTTGTTTAAAAGTATAGAAGTGTTGACAGAATCTAGGAGAAGGTTTTCTTGGATGGCTTTAAAAGTGTTAGAAACACTTTCAAAAATTTTGTTTGAGAATGATAAGTCAATATATTCTTTTTGGAAACTATATTAGTATATTATATTTTTTTTACGATAAAACACTTTATTATGAAGTGATACAACAAAGCATAGGTACTACCAATGATGAGTAAATAAATTTAACAAATGTAATGTCTTGTAATTATATAAATGATTGTTTTATTTTCTAGTATGGGATTTAGCAATGTAAGAATTACTAATTAATATACATCAAATGAATTCTTTGTGTAGGTATCTATTTTTGGATGGAGAAAGCCATTATGAAATAGAAATTTCACATATCTCCACGGTCCAAATTCTTACTGAAGGATTTACTCCTGGAGGTAATTTGTTATTAAGCATAAATAGTAATTGGAAACCTGCAGCTAGGATCATTGGGTTTTGCCTTTCATAGTTTATAAGCCTTTAAAGTGTTGTGTTTTTGTGACTGAAACCATAATTACAGAATTCCTCTATCAGTATCTATATTTCAGGCCAGACAACACGATACATTGCATCTCTCTTCTCTGCCTGATTCTTACTAGCTGTATATATTTCCTTTCACTTTCTCATTGCTTCTCTTTAATTTCTTTCTATTGCCATTTTTTAATTTTGCCTTTCAAATGTCTATCTATTTTATCCTGCTTTCTTTACCTAGTGTGTTTCTTGTCAAATCTTCCTAGAATTAATTGATAGTTAACTTCTTGGGATATTTTCTTAGATTGCTTCTTAATGGCAAGCATTATGCAACATATTTGTCTCTTTTTTCTGGGATACATATCTTACCTGAAATATAGGGTAAAAATCAGGATAGTGTAGTTCTGTGATGGCCAACCTATGGCACAGGTGGCACACAGAGCCATATCTGAGGGCACGCGAGGCATTGCCCTATGTCAGCTCTAGCGCGCATGTGTGCGCTGGTAGCTGATTTTTGGCCTTCTGGAGGATGTAGGAAGTCATTTTCACCCTCCCCAAGCTTCAGGAAAGTCTCCTGAAGCCTATGGATGGTGCACAACGGGCCCAATGGGCCCACCGGAAGTTTGGAAATGAACTTCTGGTAGGTCCGTTGGGGCATTTTTTGTCCTCCCCAGGCTTTATGAGGCTTTCTTGGAGCCTGGGGAGGGCAAAGAGCAGACCTACCGAGCCCACCAAAAGTCAGAAAATGGGCTGTTTCCTGCATCCAGAGGGCCTTTGGGGGGCGGGGGGGGTGTTTTTGCCCTCCCAGATTCTAAGAAAGCCATGCACGCATGCGGGGGAGGCAGTATGAGGGGTGTCATGCGCGCATGTACAGGTGAGCACACCGTGGGGGAGCATTTAATTATGGGCGTGGGTGTGTGGGCGTGGGCGTGCTTTTGGCACCCCCAAGGGGAAACAGGTTCCCCAGTCACTGGTGTAGTTGTAAGCTGCTGTACCAGGAGGTCCTGCTTCAAATAAGTCTCAGCAAGAGAATTTATTTGGGTGTCCTGGGGCTGGTGACTCTCTTAGCCCACTCTACCACATCGGATGATTGTTGTGGAGGAGAAAATGGAAAACAATCTTTGTGAACCTCTGTAGAAAATGTATGTACAATCAAATAAATAAAAAAATGGGAACGGATTGCCTTTCTTCTGGAATCATTTTAATATTGTGAAGGAAGGGGGTTGGTTATTTAGATGGCAATAGTTTAGAAACATCCAGTCTGAGAATTTTGTGATATCATGAACTTACAATTGGTAAGATAATACTGAGCAATTACAGGGCCACACAGTACACATAGTCCATAGGATTTCTTTCTTAATAATGTGATTGCTTAGACAAGTCTATTTTAATTCAATTTACAATGTTAGTAGTGATGGTCCTTTCAGATTAATGTAATACCTACATATGTTAACGAACAAGATTTTCTATGTGATTCAGTATAATTATTACATGCATACATCACATTTGTGCACAATGAAAGTACTGTTGAATAAATATATTAACTGTCAGATTCTTCTTGATTGCTATCAGAGTGGAGCTTGCAAATATTTATTAATTTAATTTTATTTCTTAACCACCCATCTCTCTCAGGGGCTCTGAGCAGTGTGCAATATAATCAATAAAATTTTAAAAAATCAGAATTAATTTAAACTTAAAATTATAAAAAAATATAAAATTTCAGAAAAACTGCAAGATGGGCACTTAGCAGTTGTTAATACAGGTGGGGGAAGTTCTCAAGTTGCACAACTGCCCAGTTGTATGGTCCTCTGTGTCCCCCATGTAAGGCTGGATAGCCAAGTTTTGACCCCTTTGAGGAAGGCCAAGAGATTGGAGGAGAGATTACTCACCTCCAAAGGTAACATATTCCACAGTATAGGGCAGCGGCGGCGAAGGCCCTCCTAGACTCCGTCAGTTGAAATTCTTTGACTGATGGGATCTACAGTGTACTTGAATGAATAAATGGCATGGGCTGATGTAAGGCGATGAAGCCGCTTCCGTAGGTAGCTTGGCCCTATGCCATATAGGGTGTTTTATAGGTGATGGTCATCACCAAGGATTGGACCAGGAAGCAAGCTGGTACTAATGCAGTTTGTGGAGCAAAAGTGGTAATTGTGCCCTTATTTGGGCACTCAGTATGGTTTGCACAGCTGCATTCTGCACCATTGAAGCTTCCAGATTCTTTTCAAGGGTAGCACCATGGGTTGAAATAGTCCAGTTGGGAGATGACCAAAGCATGAGTAATTGAATGGAGGGGCCCCCTCTCCAGGAAGGGGGCATAACTTTTACACAATGCAGCAGGAGCTGTGAGTCCAAAAGTTTCCCCAAGTTACACACCAGGACTGTCTGGGGTAGTGCAACCTCATCCAAGACCAAAGATGATAAACTCCTGGATACAGAGGGGCCCACTTCTTGTCAGGGTTCAGTTCAAGTCTGTTGTTCCTCATCCAGAGCCCCACAGCCTCCAGGCACCACAAAAGGACGTCCACTATGTTTTCATAAAAGCATTTTAGAATTTTTCCCTTGAAATTTTATTGCTGATTCTACTTCAGAAATCTTTATTGTTTAAAACAAAATGCAGTGTTTATTTACCTGAAGTGAGCTTGCTTATAATAGGTAAGAGACTTAGAACTTCCAATTTACTTGTGTTTCTTTATACTTTTCTGGATATAATAAAACATTTATTTTAGGGAATAGCTTCTGCCACAGATGTAAGCATGTAATTATGACTTGTTTCTCACTTCATTAAGCTAGCAAAAAAGGTTGATAGTGGCTGTATTTGCAATATGTTACAAACTTACAAGTATTCCATGAGAAACTCAGTCATTGTTTCATTTCAAATCTTATGTTTAATGTCTAATTATATTTTTTTCAAAAACAAATTACAGGATATTTGCAATATAAAAAAGGAGAAAACTACTGGCTTGATAATTAAGATAGAAATAAATATTAATTCAAAATAAACTCAAAACAAGAAACATGATGGGGAGTGTCGTGCAAAGCAGATACTATGAATTATTTTTGGAATGTCTAGGAGTTATTTTTAGCTGATATTAACAACAGGACGACTTCTTAAAGATGTGGCTGGTAATTAAACAAATAAGTGTATAAAACCTGTTGTGTTCAACTATTTAGAATCATTGAGAATCTGGTAATATGCATAATAATTGTTTGTAGGATGTAATTTAAAAATATTTATATTTTGTACATTTTAAAGTAATATGGAACTGAAATAGGAACAAATATTAAGCAAGCCCTTTATTAAAGCACATTGTTTTAAGAAAATTTTGGATTGCAAGTAGCTCATTCCCCCCCCCCCCCCATAACATTGTGTTAGCCACAAAAGTAACTACTATATACATTCTTTCATTAATTCCAGTTCTTAAAAATACAATTTTTTGCTGACTTTTAAACCATTAAAGCTAGATTACATAACAATGTGGTGATGAGACTTCAGGAAAAAAAAAAGTAAAATTTGAGACCAAAGTTTCAAGTATTCTGTCACTGGATTAGATTGCATTCATATCCATTTCTTCTCTGTAGCTTTCTGTATATTTTTCCAAATGACTTGATTCTATCTGTTTAATTTTTATGGCTATAAATTGAATCTTCATTTTAAACCTTCTGTATTTCTTTTATTAACATTTCTCTTCATTACTTACCTGCTTCCTTGATGTAGAAAACGACATTCATACTTATACCTGCCTCTTGGAAAGTGGATACATTATGGAAGGTCAGCACTGGTACTCATTACTCCTAAGCATGCTTTTTGTATTATTTCTTCAGTATATGAGGATGAGTGCAGACACAAGTTTTTTTTGTGGGAATATTTCTTTAGTGGCTGAACTTCAGATCCATTCATAATCAGCCATCTCAATGGCCAACTAACATTCTCCAGGCTACATCTAGCCACTGTTCTTTCCCCCACTCTTCGTCTGACAGCTACATTTTTTGTGAGCAGGGATTGGGTGGTTTCTGTTTAAGTGAGAAAAAGAAATGTGCTCATTTCATAATTCCAGGGTGGGGGGTGGGGGTGGGAAAAGGCTTGTAAAAAGGAAAACCCTTTCACTGGATGAATATCATAAATCCAATAGGAGATGGTTTCAACTTTGCTCCCCTCCCCCAGCAGAGATCTGAAACTATTTTGGCTAAGGAACTGACTTGATGTTGGAAAAAATGGGAAGGATCAGGATTAGGAAAACACGAAAAGTTATATTTGATATACATTTAAAATAAGTTTAATGATACAATGTGGGAAAGATGTAATGCATTGCTTAGCATAGCCGCAAACAGCTGCGTACCCTATATTTCTATAGAATTGCACATAATAAATTTGATGAAATACTTAGGCTATGACCTCACTCTGGAAGTGGCAGAACTTACTATTGTTTCTGGTTGCTTCATCACCTTTCCTGATTCATTTGTCACATTGAGAAGCCTGTAATACCTCTCTGTTGCAACTCTACAGTCATCTATGGTCACTTCCCTTGCATGCATCACTCTGAGGATGGAGTTGGGTAGGTGTTAGCTTTGAACAGATGAATTAAAATGACAGTTTTCAGGCAGTGGCCACAATTAATTACCCGAGGCAAAGGATTCGTTCTGCCTCACCAAAAGACTAGTTTAATTACATCAGTTTGAACAGAGTGTATAAAGTGATGTAGGAGTTGATTTGTATATTCAGCCTTTAAACTTAAAATGTAACATAGCTTCATACTGTTTGAATAATTGGCCTGTGCAACTGTTCAGATTCAGTTTCAAAGGGTGATTCAGATTTCTTGAGGGAGCAAATCTGTAATTTTTAAAACAGCCATGTCTTTCCCATGACTGCGTTCAGCAGTTGCCAAGTGATACTAGGAAAATATGTACCATATTTTTCGGAGTGTAAGATGCACTGGAGGTATAAGACGCACCAAGGTTTTGAAGAGGCAAATTAAAAAAAAGGTTTGCATTCTGCAAAACTCACAAAAATGGCCCGTTTTTTGTCAAAACAGGCCCGTTTTTTTTCCTACACGGCCATTTTGGTGAAGGGGGTGGGGATTCGGGAGGCAAAAAATGCTGTATTCAGAGTATAAGACGNTAATATAGGAGCCCTGGTGGCGCAGTGGTTAAAGTGCAGTATTGCAGGCAAACTTTGCCCACAACCTGGAATTTGATCCTGATGGGGCTCAAGGTTGACTTCGCCTTCCATCCTTCAGAGGTTGGTAAAATGAGGACCCAGATGTTGATGGCAATATGCAAATAATGCTTACATTGTAAACTGCTCAGAGAATGCTGTAAAGCACTACATGGCATCATATGCTTAAATACTAATAATCATAATGCAATAGTATGCAACATGGCAGGGAGTGAAGAATACTGCTCAAAACCATTCAAAGAGATTAAAAGAGCATATTTCTTACCAGATTCTAGTCCACCATATCGGTATGGATACTGCACAGAAAGACACAGCTGCAAAGCAATCTGAGTCTTCCCAGCAGAACTTTCACCAGCAATTTCAGTAATTCCTGTACGGGGAATTCCACCTCGGAGCAAACCATCTAGAAATGGGCAGCCCAGACTCAGCTTCTGGCCTTGGGAAGTGCTGGGGGCTTTGTTTTGAAATAGCTGGAGTGCTAAAACAATTTGACAGCAGGTTTACTTAATGCACTTCTATGTCACTTTCAATGTAATTATCCTGAAATGGTTGACAAAATAAAGGCACTGAGGCTCTTAATCAGCTGATTCAGAAATCCTCAGAAAGCATTCAGTTAAGACATCCAGCGAAAGTACAATGTTCTATTTCGGTAGCAGGAAAAGAATATAAGATGGAAAGGGAATAAAAGAGTTTCTCAAAATTAAAGAAGAAAAAAGTTGCCTTGTTACCATTTTATGACATAAACCCATAGTTTTACAGCAAGTTAAAGGATTGAATTAGATTTTAACAAAAATCTGGAAGATCAAATGCCATTATACCTTCAATGTATAGGTTTCTAGTAGTCTAATAATTTTTTTCAATTGATTGTTTAGAAAAAAGTTAGTTGAAGACTTACCTGTAAAAACAGAGTTTTTTCTCAAAGTAGTAGAAATTGTTCTTAGTAGATATTGTACATCTGTCTTGGATAGCTTTGTTAACCTTTGCAAATCTGATCCCGAAAGATGGAAAATGTCTTTAATTGATGTTATATTTGCTGAAATAAGAAAATTGATTCTATAACCAAAATAGATCTATTTATTTTATTTGAAAAGTGGGGATATTACAGGGCATAGACATGTTATTACTTTATTCGCTTGTTCTGGAATCCTATATCATATACCTTAGTATGCCCCATTCAACTCAATGCAACTTACTTTTAAGTAGACATAAACAGCATGGCATCATTAATACAGAGATTTGTTTTTATGCAAATACTTTTTTCTAATGCAAAACTGTGAAACTATAATTATTCATTGTTACTCAACTATTCAGAACATCCCTTACTACTGGCATTCATGCATGCATTCTTTTATTCATATTTCTAAACAGCAGGTGAGAGCAAGGCTAAAAAAATCCCATCAATGATCAGCTAGAGACACACTTGCAGATGTTTATTCAGAAGTGAGTCCAACATGGCTTGTTCTTAAAAATTTAGCTTCTTTTCAGATCTGGATATACCCAATCTCATCACAATCAGCATTTATCCACTTGCAACTGTAGCCTACTCTATACAATCCCTTAATCAAATGCAGCAAGGCAGTTTTCTTACACAATCAATATATAAAAATGATAGAGGGGTGACATATAATATGAAAACAAGGATTTGTAGTGTTGATGTACCTTTTTTAATAGCTGCAATCACTCTAGGGTTCATGTCAAACTTATCCCAGTCCATTTCTTCACAAATGCAGAGCCACACAATATTAAGTAACATAGAGGAAGAAAACTGAGTAAGATATAGCTTTAGAAAGATGCTAACAGAAAGACTTGAAATAGTTTTTCACATCAGCCTTGCTCCTTTGATCTCAGTATTATTTTTCCTATTTTTCTTTGATGCTTTTATGTTACTAGCGTTATATATAGATTTGCAATTGCTAGGCTCCTTGGCTTGTTTTAGTTACTTTCAGGTTACGTAGCATGTGAAAAAATATCAGAGGTGAAGACTGTTCACACGTAAATTGCATGAGACAATGGTACTTAGGTGGAAAAATATAAGGATATATGAGATTGGTCAAGACATGTTGAATGTTGTGAAAGTGGATGCAAGTGCTAATCTTCACACAGAATAAGATCCCACGAATAAAGGGCTTCCCTCCTCCATTCTTCTGGAATCAAACAGCCTAGCCTGTTTATCATCGAGTAAGACATGCGTGGGAAGAATATGAATGACGATTATATTCTGAAAGTGAACAAAAAATTAAAGCTGAAAAATAAAGCTTCCATCTCTATAGGTAATAGTAAAGACATTTTAATAAATGAAAAAAATATTGAACTCTTTTGTTACCTATGTTTACTTCTTCATAGGATCTTTATTTGCCATAAAGTTCCAGTCAAGCCCATGTGATTATAGACTCAAAATTCAAAACCACCTTGGAAAAAAAATGCCAATATTGAAAGCTAAACAGAATTCCCAAAAACGGACAGTCGAACAAAAGTCCCCCAACTCAAACTCCACCGAGAGGAGCCTATTAAGTAAGAATCCCTTTTAAATGATCTCCTACCTTCAGTGAACGACCCTAGCCTTAGAGAAGAGAAAGGCGCTAACAAGAATCAGCCTAAACCGCGGAAAGCGTGGGCCAATCACAGAATGCTGGGAAGAGTTAATAACCAATCACAAAGCCTCGCTGGTCATCGAGAACGCGTCCTCTTAAACTTCGCTGTCAATGTAAAAGGCGCATGCGGCGTTATCCTCCAATCTCTGCGCGCACGCGTGCGAGACTCCTCTCTTTTCTTTCTCCCCTTTTCACTTTCCTCTTTGGCCGGAGATGCCTTGAAGGGGATTGGCTGAGAAGTATATATCAATGGGGTGGGGTGGGGAGTCGGCCCACCATTGTAATGTTGAAAACAACAGCTCTGCTCCCCCTCCCGAAGAGAAACGTTTCTCAACGTTTCATTGGCCCGGAGAGACGTCTACCTTCAGTGAATCTGATGGCGATTGGATAGCTGGGGCGGGGCGGTGGCTTCGGATTGGGTGGCTGGGGGTGGATCGATGGTTTGGGCGCGTCGCCGTGTGGCGGCGGCTGTGGTAAGAGCTCTGAGGTGAAAATGTCGGGGCGCCAGGCCCCTGAAGGCAAAAAGTTGATTCGCTCCCCTAGTGGGCTCCGAATGGTCCCCGAAAACCGGGCTGCGCAGAGCCCCTTCGGATTGGAAGAGCCGCCGTGGGTGCCGGATAAGGAGGTAACGGTGGTATGGTAGTTCAGGTCTGGACTCTCATTCAGTGTTCTCTCCTCCCTCCTTCCAGTCTCTGCCGCCAGAGCCTCTCCCTTCGGTCCCTATTCCTGTGAAGAGCAGGCCTTGGCGGAACTTCAGTGGTGCACTCCGCCTCATCTCCCCCCCCCACTTTTTAAAAAACATTCAGGTCTTTTCTCCTTGCACGATCTTTCCCCACCCCACCCCGCTGCGACGCTCAAAGCTCGCCCTGAATTCAGGCTTTGGGTCGATTCTTTGAACGTCTTGCCTTAAAATCGCTCTCGACCTAGAACATCAGAACAGCTTGCTAAAAACGGGGCCAGAACTTGATATGCTGTTCTTCGGTTCGCCAGCAGGGGGTGTTTGAGTAGAAAACAATGGTGGCTTGATTAGAGGGGTCTTTATCAATCAGTGGTTCCCAACGCGGGGCCCAGGCCCCACGGGGGCGGGGATTTGATTTTTAATAGGGGCAATTTGAACCTTGTTTAAATCAAGTTAATGGCTTTTTAGGCTTCCTATGCATGAGTAGAGTTCACTTTTTGAGTAAAGTAAGAATTATATGTAAAGGGGCGGAGGGGGGGAGGCACCAGTATTTTAGAGAGGTTTAGGGGGGGGCATGACCAAAAAAAGGTTGGGAACCACTGTGTCAGTGCTTTGATTGGGAGCTACCCAAAATTGATTGTAACCTGAGCGGCTATATAAAAGCTTTAAAGAAATAGAATAGGGAAGTTCTGTTGAAAATATTGGAGATAATTGAAAGAATTGTCCTAGAAAAATAAGGTTTACTTTCAATAATGGGTAATGGATTAAGTACTATATGGGTGAGATATTTGAAGGGAGAAGTATTCCCATTCATGGAAATATTAAGGAAACTGATCACATAGCTAAAGAGAGCTGGGAAACAAATCATAGCTTGGAAAGAAAAGCTGAGGTGATGGTAGAAGCTGCAGGATCTTAAGAGGCAGAAATGACACTGGTTGTTTCAGACTTAATACTACTGAAACAAAAAAAATGTGCTCAGTAGAGCAGGCTACCACACACCAGAATTGACAACAGACATATAAATCTTTCTTTGCAAATGCTAGGTTGACACAACAATAAAAATAAGACCTTAGCTACATGTGTTGTATGTATTTTATCAAATACTGGAAAACCATGAATTAACAAAAAGTTTCAACAATATTGCAAATAATGCCAGTTCTAGGATGTTTGTTAAATGATGTCAGAAATAGATATTTGTCTAGAAAGTAGGTCGAAGCTGGTTGGAGTTTAGAATGTTGTCCAAGAACAATAGGATAAAGTATATTTCACAGCAGCCCAACATACATTATGTTCCGTGAATCATGAAAAATATTGGCAGTATATATTGTCCTTATGTGGATGAAGAAAACTTTGTGATTGAGACTTGTAAAATGCAAGTCTTCTTAACAATATATGTGAAGGATAACATTCTGTAGTAATCTCTATTTCTTCAGGGCTACCTCCCCTTTTCCTGTAGAACATATTTTTATGCTCAATATAAATTGGTGTTTTTTATCCTTTTAAGTAAAATTATATTTCAATGGAAAATGTATAAAGGTGAAGACAATCAAGTGTCCAGGAATCTGCTCTTAAAAGCTCATTAAAAGAAATGGTAACATCTGAGATTGATTTCAAGTAGTTTTAAATCTGGACTTTAGATGTGATCTCAGAAAGATGTCCTTAGCGGGGTCATACTAATTGTTCTGAATCCGAACTACAGATGATCTTGTATTTTTTCTTTTAGTAAGAAAATATTATGGTACAGAAAATGAACTCTGTAGAAGTATTTTATGAGACTTACTCATGCAAACTAATGAGGCTGTTTAAAATTGTGTCACATAATATGCCATGTGTTCGTTTAGTCTTTGGCTGAAACAGTCAAACTTAAATATCTTTGTATTATTATTTTATAGTGTCCTAGATGTATGCAGTGCAATACAAAGTTCGACTTCATAACCAGAAAGGTAAGAGTTTGGATGCAAGTTTATTGTAGAGCATTCCCCTGAAAGCAATAAAATGTTCTTGCTATAGTCAGTCACCTTTGAGTAGAATGTTCTGCAAACCAAATGAATGTGTTATAACTGTAGCATTTAGGATAGGGGTTGTTTATGCTAAAAAAATAGTGTAGCTTGTACTGAACATACTTAATAGTGAAACCAAATTTTCTTTATGTTTTTTCTATATTTTTGGAATTGCATTGTGAACATTTAATTTTTTCAGTAGATGGATTTATTTATTTTTTTCATCTTCTTAGCTGCATGTCTCAACCAGCAACTGGGCAGCTTATTGATTCTAAAAATATAAAAACTATTAAAACATTTAAAAATATTTAAAACAATAGAAACAACCAAATTATATATATACAGCAGCCAAGATTATTAAACAGTTAACATTTAAATTAACAGGAAATTTTAAAAAATGGGGCCCTTAACATATTCAGAGTTCCAGGCTCTGCTGGACTACAAAATGTGTATCATTTGCTTTTAAGTATAACCAAAGCCAAAATTACAAATCTCGCTATACATGACTACGGTATGCTACATATGCAATAATAAGAACTTTGACAAGTCTGGCTCTCTCTCTTTTACATTGTTATCCTAACGGCTCATTCTCTAATTAGATTTCTTTTTAATCAGGCCATGCAGGCGATACATATTACAGTTGAAAACTACATATTGTGCATACACTTTTTTATGCTACTAATTTGCTGTGTTCACATATTAATTCAGATTATATTTAATTTTGATTTCTTGAATAAACCAGCTGCCCCGGTTATACTTACGTTTAACTTGGATTAAAAGTCTAACACATAATTTTAGGCCTAAATGAAATAAATCCAAAGTTTGCATGTTGTATGGATTTAGCTGTTTTGCTTTACAATTGTATGTGTGTGTGTGTATGTAGATTATATGATCATATAAATTATGTATTGTATCAATTATATGCTTCACAATTTCGCAAATAATGTATTGATTTCTTTTGTAGAAACTTCATTGAGTTTTTGATAGGCAATTACAGTAGCAAAATTTTTCAGAACTGTAGATATAAGGATGCAGTACTGTATAGGACTACCAGAATAAAAATCTGGATCTGGACCATTTGATGGCACAGTAGCTCTACTACTATCTAGCATTCATTCAAGATTATTGCAATCTTGATCTGATAGTCCAAATATTTCTCATCACAAAAGATGTTTGTTTGACAAACATAATTTGAATAGGCAGTCTGTTTCAAATAGCGAAGGAAACATTTAGCTTGATCAAATGTTATTTTCACATTGTATGTGAAGCTGTAGCTAGCCTAACCATGGACTATTGAAAAATCCCACAGTTGTCTAATTCATAGAGTATACTAAACCTTATATTAATATAATTTTTACCATTCTTTAAGGATAAGATGTAATTTGTTTGCAGCTTTGTATGTTATATGAATACTTTCACTATTTAGCAATAGCAATAGCAGTTAGACTTATATACCGCTTCATAGGGCTTTCAGCCNTGAAAAGAATGCCATGTTAGTTTTACCTATTGTTGAATTATCTATTTGCTGTTTAAACTATTAAATCACAGTTTAGGTATCCCAGAAAGCTAACTTAACTATGGTTCACAGTCAAAATTTAATGTTCAGACAAATACATGTATCATTGCATTAAAAATAATAAATTGAATTTTAGTATTCTCATATTAACACAATTTAAGAGCCATACATTTGTTATGTATTTTTAAAATATATTCTGAGACATTACAACCCCAAAATTGTTTTTAATACAGTTTCCATTAGTAAGTCAGCTTCATAAAATGCTAATCTTCTAGAAATAATAAATGTGTCTACAGAAAAATATGGTAGAAGAACAATCCAGTCTTACATCACTACTCATGAAAGAGGAACAACATCAGTTCTTTTATACTACTATTTTATGTTCACTTAACGACTGTAACGGATCCTGTCCGTTATGGTCTGAAGTTGTGACAATTGTAAAACATACGAAGCAAACCAGTGGTTCCCTATGGGCACTATTTTGCTGAATAAATGTGTCCCAGTTGCCGAGCATCTGAAGTACTATCATGTGACCACACAGAGGGCGACCATCGTAACTTTGAATCTGGATTATAAGTAGCTCCCTAGTAGGCCCACTGTAACTTTGAACAACTGCTAAGCGACCGGTTGTAAGTCAACTTGTATTCTTTCCAATACAGTAGAATCTTGGAAATAAATTATGTAGAAAGACTTGAGAACAGGATAATAGAATGGGACTAAATTGCAAAAGAAAGATTGGATTGAATTGAACAGTATCAGGCAGAGGCTACGTAGAAAAAAAAATCCAAGAAAAAATATATCTCCCAATGCTTCCCTAAGAGAGGCATTTGGGCAGAAGATTGACATGACATTTTCAATCATGTGATGGAAAGTATTGGAAAATATTCAAGAAGACATCCTCTTGTTGTTCTCAAATCAGCAGTTTCTGCATTTCTGCATCAGTACAAATACAAAGATTTAGAACTGATTGATTTTTTTTCTACTAAAAAGGAATAAATAGGGACTTTGTGATAGGATTTCTTTGACACTTCTAATGTCATAAACAGAGATGTAGATTTTTTAAAAACGAATTGTAGTGGTTTTAGTTGAGGTTTTCGAGTTCAACTCTGAACCACCAATCTCACACAAAAAAAATTCAAAATATATGTCAACTTGTAATGGATAGGAGTACAAATATTTTTTGTTGTTGAAGTAGTATTGAATTTGGGATGTACCATAATCATAAAGGTGGCCTGACTTAAACATTAATATCAATTCATGTTTTAGTTCAATTCAGTTTAATATTGTAAATAAATCTGCCTTTTACAGAATCCTCATACTAAAAAGATGTTTAGAATGATTTCTGTATTGTTTAGTGGATTGAATTATTTTACGTTGCTCCATGTTTTTTCCATTGTTGCAAGCTATTTAAGGTTTGTCTCTTCTATTTTGTGACTTTTCACTAATAATTCAAGGGCATAGTTTTGTTCTGTTTGAGCATACATCATCCAAATAAATGTCTTGTATAATGCACATTCTCCACATATATTCTTGAATATGAGGCCTTTAAAAACACTGGTTCTGTTAGACATTTGTCTTATAACCTCAAAACTATCCAGTCTGAATACTTGCTCGGCCATAATTGTTTTGCATGTGGCTTTCTATTTTTTGATGTGACTATGTAACCTAGAGTTTAATACATTACTCAGTATTCTTTCCAGTATTTATCAGTGATTGGGGCTAGAAAGAGATGATGGGTTAACCACCCACCATTGTAAGGATAAAGCTATATTTGCTTTGCAGTGTAAATCTGTGGATTACATCTAATGCCACTTGAGTAAACTTCCACTTGCACACTGAGACATCCTCTTGTTCTCCTTTTTCTAGATCTGGTTCAGAATTTTACTCAAATGTTTGGACTGCATTTTGGGATATGTAATTTTTCTGGCGATAGAATCCATTCTGTAAAAAAAAAAAGCTATGGTTTGGAATAGCCCTTTGTATTTGTAACAAATAAAGTATTTTCCCCATATTTCCTCCCTTAGGAGGCAATACTCGTGCCACAGGTATGCTGCTTCAGTACAAAGTACCAGGATCAGATGAGTTCAAACAGATTAAATTTACTGGTGGTGAAGATTTCAGTTCCAATAAAAAGCTATCAGCTACCTGGCTAGCAGCAATGCATAAGGTAACTAAAGCAACTGTTAATTAAATCACGCCTTAAATGTCTTTAGGAGTATTTTTAGATAAACCTAATCTACTGTTCAGTTATCAACATCCAGATGCCAATAGGAAATTGGCAAGAAACACAGTTAGCAACTGTCTTTTCCACCAGGGGGATCCACTGAAGTTCAGAGTCAAAATCTGCAAAATGGTGGGTATGCCATTAAAATCAAAACCATGTCTCTTTTAAGAGAGAGTGTTTAGCTACTACAGACTATTAGTCATATACTAAGTTGAGGTAATCTTCGACTTATGACAGTAACAGAAACCAGAATTTCCATTGTTGTGATGCAGCCAAAACATATGACTCTACCATTTAAGATGGCAGTTTGCCACCTGCTTGCCATTGTTAACTTAATCCTATGGTAATTAGGCACTTCTAGCTGCTGTAAAATGTCACAATACCCCTCTCCCACAGTCATGTGACCATATTTTGGGCATTTAGCAACTGGTTTGCCTTTGTGGCTAATTGCAGTGACTTGCGATCATCTGACCATGATTTGAGATTTTTTTGCCCATCAACTGCTGTTGTTTAATGACTTGCAAAAAATGTAAAAAAGATGGATCTAGTCCAGACCTGCAACTGCGGTGTCTAAAATTGAAATTATGGTTCCAATTATGGTAGTAAGTTGAGGACTATCTGTATTATGGCCATAAACCAGCATAAATGTTTGTGTACAGATTTTCATATAAAGAGAATCATAGTTCTTTATCTTTTGAAATTCTAGAAAATTTTCCATGTACCATTTGATGAATTGGAATCTTAACATTTAGCACAGCTTGCATTGTGTTTTTCTGTTATTATAACAATTTGAATGCATTCAGAAATAATTCAGCCCCACTGCTCAACTGCATGTGCAATTCCAATAGTTTCTAACAGTGACAATTCATATGTTACTTCTTCCTTTTTTGTTTTTTGTCATCTTACAGGCAGCAAAACTTCTTTATGAATCTCGGGATCAATAGGTAGTTTTTTGGAACCGAGGGGAAAAGATCAACTCTAAAAATAAGCTTCTTACTACTTGCTATTTACACATGGTATAGGGATTCTCCCTTCCTCCTTTCCTACATTAAATGTGGTTCATCATGTGAGCACTGGCCAATTATAATGTGAGTATTTGGACCTATAAGTATTCACTTATTTAGTGTGCAATATGTATACAGTTTATTAATGCTTTAAATAGAGCTCTGCATCTATGACTTTATTTTGTTAAATCTTATCTGC